GAATTATTCCTCTCTCTTGATCATTTTCCTGCCTTTTTTCTTTTTGGTTTTCAACACCATCTCACACCTTCCATACCTCCGTTCCTAACACCTCCCCCAGGCCTCCACATAACCCCCTCCCTCCTCCCCCTCCCCACCCAATCGCACCTCTTATCAACCCTCCTTCACACGTCCCTCTCTTCCCCCACGCACCTCACAAACATACACACCCACTACACGCTCTCCTACCCCACCTCTCCATCCTCATCATCATCCTCCTCCCCCTCCCCACCCCCCTCATTCTTCTCCCTCCCCCCTACCTCCCCCACTCCCATCGCTACCCCCCTCACCCCCTCCATCCACAAACCACTTTCCATCTCCCAACTCCTGACCAAGAAATTGCGCTGGACAACCCTAGGCGGCCAATACGATTGGACCGCAAAAAGATATCCAGATACACCACCTCCACCCTTTCCTCCGCAAATAAAGTCGTTACTGGAAGCCCTCTTCCCCCAGACCAAAGCGGAAGCCGCGATCGTGAACTTGTATTCTCCAGGCGATACACTGAGTGTGCATCGCGATGTTGCTGAAACGAGTAGCACGGGGCTTGTTAGTGTGAGTTTGGGGTGTGATGCGATTTTCGTGCTGGGCACTACGGTGAAAAGCGAAGAGGGAGTGAACGAAGAAAAGATCGTCACACTAAGACTGAGATCAGGAAGCGCGGTGTATATGTCCGGGGAGTCGAGGTTTGCATGGCATGGGGTTCCGGCGATAGTGGCAGGGACGTGTCCTGAGTATCTTCGAGACTGGCCCGCGTCAACATCAGCAGAGAGGGGAGAAGAAGGCGATCAAGAGGAAAAAAGGGGGTATGAAGCGTGGAGAGGGTGGATGGCGAACAAACGGGTTAATTTGAATGTAAGGCAGATGTTCGATTGATCACTCTACACCACTTTACATCACGTTACAAGACAGTAGACAGAGATTACAAAAGCATTATCATGTATTAGTACTATTCAAAGCAAAAAGGGGGTATGTATATATATCCACATCCACATCCAACAACCATCGCCCTGCCCACTTCACAACCTCTCCACCAACGCACACCTACCACAGCGTCACCTTCGACCCAACATCCACATCCTCATCAGACGTACACGTAGCGATCATGAGACTTTTCCACTAGTATTTCCCCGGCTCGCCCGGAACCGCACTCCCGGGTGCCGTCGTCGCACTACCCGGCACCGCAGACGCAGGCGCACTAGTACCACCGCTCACAGCATGGTCAGTCGAGTTCGTACCAGCACCCTCCAAACCCGTAGTCTGGATAGGAGCAGGCTGCGCCTTCTCCTCGGGATACATGTTCTGCGGGCTAGTATCGCCAGAAACAGGGCTAGTGGGAACGTCGTTTGTGACCTTACCCGCTGCGCCGCTGATGACCTGCCACCACTGCTCCGCAGCCTGTGGCGTGTGTGCCTTGAACGCAAACTCGTGTGTCATGGAGAACGCACCGCCGATCTTTCCCTTTGACACATCCTTGCCCTTGACATTAAACTTCTGTCCATTCACCGCACCGATCATGCAGTCAGGAATATAGAGCGACAGTTCAGGGACTGGGTCCTTAGCAAAGTCGTCGTCTGTCTTGAACTCGTGCAGGAACTTGGAGGGCGTTACGACGTAGTAGTTTGTGTCGTAGGAGCGCATGATCTTGCCCTTCTTTTCGAGCGAGCCCGAGATGAGGGGCTGGGTCGCGCGGTGGTTTTGGTTGGGGAAGCTGATGTCGGAGAGGGTGCGGGCGGGAGCGGCGGGGTCGATCAGCACGGTGTTGTTGCGCTGGATGAAGCCGTTCCATTCGAAGTCTTGGGGGATGCGCTGCGATGTGCCGACCATGTCGCCGTATGCGGCTTTGGTGTGCTCGGCTTGGGTGTTGACGACTTGCAGGAACTGGCCCATGCCGGACTGGATGGTCTGGATGATGTGGGCTTCGAACTGGGCGAATGAGTTCTGCACGCTGATCAAGTCCTGGCGGTTGTTGTTCTCCTCTTGGACTTGCTTGTGGAGGCGGTGGTTGACGCCGCGCTGGAGGATGTAGGGGTCGTCGGTCGCCTTCATGTTGCCGCTGTGCGAGTCGAAAACTGCCGTGTGCTGGCCGAGGAGCTCAATCTGCTTCTGGGTGTGCAGGCGAGCCTTGTCGACAGCCTTACTGCCCTTGCCAGCTCCCTTGGTGAGCTCCTTGCTCTTGTTCTTGATCTCGGTGTGCAGGCGGTCGAAGATGGGGAGGACGGCGCCCTTGAGCTGCTTTGCCGTCTCGTAGTGTTGGTTGGAGATGCCCTGCCATGGTTAGTCTCAGACTCGGTATCTGATGTGGGAGAAGTCGTACCTGGGTGTTGGACCTGATGTTCTCGAACATGCCCGCAATACCACCGAGCGACTGATCGAAGTGGTGGCCCTCCTTCAGGGGATCCTTGACCGTCTATTCAACGTCAGTAGCTGTATCGCTATCGCATTGAGTCGACCAACCTTCAAGACGCGCTCATACTCCTTGCCGTGCGCGTGGTTCGTCTTCTCCGTGGCTGTGACATAATCCTCGAGGTAGGCGACGGCGTGCTTCCAGGCTTGCAATCGCTCCGCAAAGAGCTTCGTGACCTACAACATGTTAGGAGCTGTCTCTCTCATCTGTCTCCAGACTACTTACCTCCGAGGTATCCTCTCCTGGGATGGCATCGTCGTCGGCAGAGCGGTTCGTGAGGCTGCGCGTGGGCATCTCACTCGTGGCAGAAGTGGGCGCAGACATATTGCAGGTGTGTCGTGATACTAAAGAAACAAGATGCAGTCGTGGAACGTGTCTTCGCACGTGTAGGAGGTAACGTTGTTGTTGCTGTGAAGCTCGAACGACGCGGCTAGCGAGATTTGGTTGGTGAAGGCGGGGTTCGCGTCCTTCCGGAAATGAGCCCGTGTCGTATGCTGCACGAGGGACTTTTATAATAAAGATATCTGGTTCAGTAGTAGTAGTTAGGATTATTTATTCCAGGGTAAAAATCAGGGTCCAGGGAGGGGTTTAAGTTTGATTCAAGCTGCCGTGGGCGCATCTAGATCGACACGCACACATGCCGGAGAAGCAGGGTGCTGTGAGGGTTTGGCTGGCCCTGTGACGTCAACGCTCGCAGCTTTAGTCTAGATCCACGCGGGATCTACGCCAGGAAATGGGTTTGGAGCGCTGCTGCGCCACGATCCTAGGGGTGATCGCGGGACACACCCTGACCACATGGTTACATTCAAGGTCGTTGACGTATCGTGGCTTCATGCCATTGCGCCCGAGTGTGAGAGGGTTGTCAGGGTCTCCGCCCAACGCCATAGTACCCCCACATTAGCACCGAGGAACGGCAGAGGCTCCGAGGACTTTCAACGAGCACAACATCGCGCTAGGCAGAGATCTAAGCCGGGCAGGAAACTTCCAAGGTTGCGAGTTACCCCTATCAAAAGGTATAGAGGAACTTCGACTTTGGTGTGGCCTTCACGCGGGGTACTTATTTGTCATCTTGTCAACTTCTATGACAGCCTGCTTGTTTCCAGCGTCTGACCGAGTTGAAACCTACTACGAGCTGAGATTGACGACCGTGGCTATGTCAGAATCCGCGTCGCAGTCTACTGTAAACATGCTACTAAATCTTAGCGACCAAGTAGTTTCCATAGAACCTAGTCAACGTGGACTTCTACCCAGATGGGTGTTTTGTCATTGTAGAGTGCGACACGACTTGTAGCCACCCTTTATCGTGTCAGAATCTGGTGACTGCCTAAATTGATCATATGTGCTTACTACAAAGCTGCACCGTGCAATAACCCGTACCAGCTATCATGAATGCTGCAACGTCCGAGCAGATAATAGCGAGGGTTCATGGTGTGGGTAGAACAGGGAGGTCTGAATAGTTATGTTCCAACATGACCTGTGTGGGGCCTTTATCAGGTAAGCCGTCCAGCGAGCTCATTGGTATCACAGAGTCTGAGGGTGACAGCCTTAGTATCTCCATTTTCTCTCCTCGATTTGGATGATCTAGACGGGGCGGTGTGGTATGAGTCCCAGGTGTCTGGAATGGATACAACACTACGTTGCGAGTAGACCAGCTTGCGCCCAGCAAATGAAGCATGCTGATATCGGGTGTTAATTGGTATGGCTGCAGGGAGAGTCTTGACATCGTTCCCCATCTTGGGAATCCACGCAGTGTATTCCTGGATGTCTCCGCGGCGAGAGTAGCAACGGTTCTGGATCTGCCGCCTGAGGTCAATTAACTGGCGCAACCCCAATCTCTTCTGCTTCGCAACGCCCGAGCTAGTCACCAAGGAATGTCTTGCGAATCAGTCGCGGTGACGAGTTGTAGAAGTCCGCCTTCCCCGCTGTCCCTGAAAGAGATCTCGGGATTCCTGTTGACTTTTGTGTTCCAGGAATGCGCTGCAGTAAGAGCCTCTCTTCAGCAATCAACTTTCGAAGTTGAATAATATCCAACGATCAGGTCAGCAAAAGTGCTATGGAGTTGGTGGGTGTCGTGGTCGGGACGAACGGTCTCGTACAGTTGTCAAGCGACATCGATGACGTCGGACCGACCCATACTGCGACCCTTCAATATCCGCTCGTCTACGCTGAACCTCCGGTCGGCATCAGCGCCGCAGACGCGTTGGAGGCTTTGTATAGCGAAAAATGGGGAACAGGACGTATCTCCGATGTGAATTGGAGGCGGCAACCGCTTACCCCACATCTCGGTATACCGAATGAGGCTAAATTCAGCTGTCATCCGAGGTCGAGCTGGGATGTGGGAAGCATGGCATTGGAGAACGGCTTCATCCCCACACACTGCTCTTTGACAAATTAGGCTGTACATATAGGCATTGCACGCTCAGATCACAAACACAGCCAAAGGAAATCTGTGTTGCTACCACAATAACGTGCTACCTATAGGAGCTGCCACGCGCCTCCCCGCATTTCTCCACACGACCGAACACCACCTGCACGACAACAAACGTTGCTCACGATGGTGATATCAACAGCAATTCGCATTGCGCCATCGCGCGCAGCTCGCGCCCTCAACCTCCTTCGAACCGTACAATACACACATCCTCCATCATGTCCCTGCCATTCGAACCCCAACTACCACCAATCGCCGTCTACGGTTCAACAAGCACGACGACATCTCGCAACACCCCTCGACCATTCGCAGCAAAAAGAATATGCATTCGAGATGGCCGCATCAAGCATAAGATTCGGGCCTGGATGTACAAAGGAGGTTGGCATGGACTTCAAGAACATGGGCAGTAAGCGCGTCATGGTCGTCACAGATCCCAACGTGAGGAAACTAGACGCGATGAAGCAAGTCATTGAAGGTCTGGAGCGAGAAGGCGTGACATACGAGATCTTCGACAAGGTCAGAGTAGAGCCAAAGGACCACAGCATAATGGAAGCCATCAACTTCGCGAAGCCATGGAAACCAGACGCGTACCTAGCTGTTGGCGGTGGCAGTGTCATCGACACAGCCAAGCTGATGAACTTGTACACCACATTCCCCGACGCAGAGTTCCTGGACTTCGTCAACGCGCCATTGGGCAAAGGAATGCCTATTCCGTCAAAGCTCTTCCCGCTCATCGCTGTACCAACAACTGCGGGAACTGGCTCTGAAACGACTGGAACTGCTATCTTCGACCTGGTTTCCAAGAGAGCAAAGACCGGTATCGCGCATCGAAACCTGAAACCCACTTTGGGCATAGTCGACCCGCTGAACACGCGCACTATGCCCTCTGCTGTCCACGCATCTTCAGGTCTCGACGTACTGTGCCATTCTCTCGAATCGTGGACCGCAATCCCATACTACGAGCGCACTCCACGACCGACCAACCCCCTCAACCGTCCAGCCTACCAAGGCGCAAACCCAATCTCCGACATTTTCTCTCTCAAGGCCCTGAAAGACACAGTCAAGTACCTGCCTCGCGCGGTGAAGGATCCCGATGACCACGAGGCTCAGTCGCAAATGTTGCTAGCCGCGACACTCGCTGGTGTAGGCTTCGGTAACGCAGGTGTACATCTCTGCCACGGCATGTCGTACCCCATCTCAGGCCAGAACCCTGGATACAAGCACTCCGGCTACGACGTAGATCACACCATTATCCCACATGGTGTCAGTGTTGCGGTGACCGCACCTGCAGTCTTCAAATTCACCGGCGCATCCAACCCAGAGCGTCATTTGGCCGCGGCCGAAGCGTTCGGTGTCGACATTTCGAACGTCAAAGCAGAGAGCGCGGGAGAAGTACTTAGCGAGGCGCTCGCGGAGTTCTTGGTCAAGCTTGGTGATCAGCCACGTGGGTTGAAGGCGCTAGGTTTCGGGAAAGAGCATTTGGACCAGTTAGTTGAGGGTACCATTCCGCAAGCGAGAGTGTTGATGTTGGCGCCTAGTTTGGAGATGCAAAATATTGATGCTGAGAGGGAGCAGTTGCGCGGTTTGTTTGAGGATGCGATGGAGTATTGATTGACTAGTGGCGGCCATCTAGGTACGCAGCTTGATTTGTAAGATTCGTAACTTCCAATACATTGAACTCTTGTTCGAACACAGCCATGACACATGAGTTGCATGTTACTCTTTTTCACATTGCCAGACATCTATGATCAGATTCCGGGTCTGGCAGGTCTTGTTGTAGCCCTTGAGGTTGCGACAATCCCCACCCGAGAGCGTCTTCCAAGATCTGAGTCGCATGAGCTGCGGAAGATATAAGTGGCGAGCCGACCCTGAGCCGTTGCGATACCATGGGGTGGAGGTGATGAAATCGGATCAAGGGTACAAGACGACGCCGTGAATGGTAATACCGGAACCCCAACTCGACCATGCGAACGAACTTGGCTGCCATGTTCTCACTACTTAAGCTCGCACTCTTCCCGATATATTTGTTCATCAAAATCATACCTGCAGACATTTCCAGCTCTGGGAATAGCAGTATATCTCAACAGAAGAATGGAATATACTGCGTTGCGCAAGATGGCACTACAGTAAGCCACCATCCCAGTCCAATATATCCCAACAGCTAACGAACGACAAGGCGTCGATCAGGAACGCCGGAGATTCCCGATTATGACGATGTCGGTCCTGCTACGCGCGGTTATTATCTCAGTATCGCCGAGTAAGTGGTAGCGTTTCGTTGTGATCTGGCAATATTAACATCGAGTAGCGCATCACAACGGCTCCAGATTTTACTGAAACAGTTGAGATCTCTCCATCGATTTACCCACAAGCACAATTGGACAGTACTAAACTATGCGAAAAAGGAGGAATTGGCCGCCTATCACGCGGCTGCTTGCAGCATTATGAACGCGATTCGTCGACTCAGAGCCGATCTTGACGAGCAAATCGTAAAGCATGAAGCTCCCCCATGCAATCAGATATTGCAGAAAGTGAAACCCCTTCCGCAGGAGCTCCAGAATATGATATATGGCTTCATTTTCCAGGACTCAGCGATTCGTCTATTGGCGGAGGAGGACGAAAAGTTCGAGTGCAACTTTTATCTCTACCTCGAACCGGGAACTACAACGCGCATCCCTTACCGCTATCTTCTGGAGCCCGATTATTTCGTTGATGACGCTAAAGTCAGGGAAAATTTGGCTAGGGCGTGGTTTGAAACTACAAAGTTTGGGATTATGGATCCCTCCATCATGGAGTCTTTTCTCCTCCAGTTTCCGTGGAGCACTGGATTACAGCCGCTCAGCTTACTACACCACGTCACCTTGGTGATACTTCTTGAATCCGATACTGTCGACCACACCGATTATCTGGAACGATTCAAGTCACTGCTCCTCCTCGACAAAGCGCATACGAAGATCACCATCTGCGTGCCCTTTCTCATTGACTACCCAAATTTCAGAGACGCACAAGTTTTGCCATTGAGAGCGCATGCGCAGAGTGCAGCCTACCTCTTCCCAGACTTGGTTGACCTGAGAAGGAGGGGATACAAGGTGACAGTGCGTTCTGAAAGGGGCCTGGAATTTCTGGTTGAACCTGAAGAAACTACCGTGGAAGGGTGGACAAAGAAATTCGAAGCGGCTGTTGAAGAGGCTCGCATAAAGTTTTGGAAAGGGGAGTATAGTGGACATTATCCGGACTGGGACGACATGCAGGACAAGATGGAGGATGCGTCACAGAAGTATATCTCGGATAGCTCACAGCACTACTATTCGGATGATCTACAAGAGGAAGATTCGGATGAATCACACGAGGATGAGTCAGACGAGTCACAAGAGGATGATATGGACGAATCAGAAGGATAAGATTTGGAACAGCCGCGAGCAACGTAGTTCTTGTATTGCACGACTCGCTCAAAAAGAAACGGCACTGACCGGAAAATTGTTAATTAAATGCGTCGCATGCTGGTGCTATGGGCCATCGGACGCCATCACGTATTGAATGTAAGCCTTGACTCTAGTGTATCGCAACCATGGTTCTCAATGAAATCCCATCTTAACAACCAAAGTATACCACGGTCACATCGGACGCTAAGCCGAAAGAGCTTGGATGCGTCACCTTTGCTACTTAACTTCGCACTTCCCCAATGTTTTTGTGTATCGAGCTTTGAAAACACAGATTTCCTCGTTTCTAGAATCAGCAATACATCTCGGAAATTGACCATACTGCGTGTCACAAGATGGCGCAACTGTGAGTAGCAATAGCAGTCCTCTAAATTTTGATAGCTAACGAGCGAACAGAGCACAGATATATCCACCAGAATACTGGAGCCCCATCAGATGGGATGATCATGACGATCCTGAGTATGAGATGAACACTTTCCTTAAAGAGTATGTAACACGCTTCCGTTGCGATCGAAATAGTCATTGACAACGAGCAGAGCATCGTCCCGGCTGGAAAACGCTGAAAGGCTTTCATTCGCTGTCCGGCTGTTGGAATTCGACGCAGACGTGCCTGCGCTCTTGACCACTGAACAGCAAACAGTCCTTGGAAAGATAGACGGCGTCGCGAATACCATCATCAAGCAAACCAAATGTGAGGTGGACACTTACATCAAATCTTACGAGGGGCCGCGCTGCCGTGCATTACTCGAAGAAGTACGCAAGCGATTATGTCAAGAACTCCGCGACGCGATATACGGATTCCTCTTCCAAGGCCAACGAGTGGAATTAGACGAAGATCATGAAGTCAGCGGATACGAGAGCATTAAAGGTATTAGCAAAGCTAACCTAAAGTGCCGGTCTGACACCTGGCTACTGACACCCGGCTATTTCACTCAAGACGACCCAATCAGGCTCGAACTGGTTAAAGCGTGGTACCGGAATGCGACCTTCCCTGTTATCCATCCCAAATTCATTTGCAGATCTCTTAGAAGATTGCGATGGTCCACCAATCTGAACCCGCCCCGATTCATCAAGAGGTTTGAGATCAAGGTACGGATCGGTGGCGAAACGTTTGATCAAGAATGCTTCGCGGAGAAGCTAGAGTTGCTCAGTCATTTCCACAGGACTTGCCCGATTGTAACGATCATATTGGAGAATCTCGTAGAAAATAACTATGACGGTCATGATGCGCAGGCATGCGCTCAACACGCCGCATACATGTTTCCAGTGTTACTGTCACTGCATCGTTTGCGGTTCAAGCTTATAGTTCGATCTGAGTTGAACTTGAAGTTCGTGGTGGTACCGGAGGAGACTACCGTGGAAGAATGGTCCAAGAAATTCCATGAGGCGATCGAGTCGCCACGCGCTCAAGCTTCCTTGCAGGAAATCGAACGAAAAGCTCTTGCATCAATGCGTCGGATGGGATAGTAGGGACATGAAATGAAAGCTGTGCGCACGTGTCACCGCTAGGCATCACCAGCGTTTTCCGCTTATACTTCTTCACGAATAGCAGACCCGCAGTACCACTTACCACCTGCACTCTTTATCACTTCTCCAATTTCACACTTAAGTTGACAGCAAAACGTCATGTCAGTGAGCATCGACAGCAGCGTCACAGGAGTAACGCCAACTCAAGTCCCAAGTGGTGCGCGACTTACCTCTGCTGTGGAAGGGTAAGATCGTCAAACACATTTTGCGGGCGGTGATAATGAATTTGAATAGATACTCCGAGCCGTCTACGTTGAATCATGCAAATACCAGTGTCGCTGGGAGGGATACTGTATTCGCCACTGTCGACGAAGACCGGAAGTATCTTCAAACGTATGCGCCATCTGGTTGTGAAAGAACAACAACTAACCTCTAACAGCGCGTTAAAGAAGCTGAAAGTCCTCAAGCATATTGTAGACGCGCGAGTCGGAGAATTGAACGCTGAGAATAATATCTTCTGTCTACGCAACAGTTGTCCAATCAGGGAGCCTTCTCCTGAAACAGGTCGATACCAACGGGTGTTCAAACTCCAGGAAGAAGCCCGGAACATTGCTAGTGAGATCGACCACCGTATGAAGCGTTATGCAGCGGCGCAGTGTCTCCCCACCTGCACTATGGTCTGCGACAAACTTCCCCGCGAACTTCGCGACATGACATACAAATACATCATCGGGGAGTCGATCGTGAAGATTGATAAGGAGGTACTGGCGAGTTTCCTCTTTTGTTCTGAAGTCGGATTCACCCCCATGTTCCCCGCAGGGTTCACGAATCGCACCAACATTGCCTACGAGCACCTCTGGGATCAAGACTACTCCGGCAAGCTCTTCTACTCGGAGCTTATCGAGGCCTGGTACCGCAATACAACATTCTCCTTCGTGGAATGTCGTCTCGTCCCTTACTTCCTCAACAATTCGCGCTTCGGCTACGGAGTAAAACCGCGAGAGTGGGTGCGCAAGATCAAAATCATCAGGATTACGACAACAGAGAGCGTCCTCTCTATATACAGGGGAGAAGAGAAGGCATATAACATCAAGACCGGCGATCTCGATAATCTCAAAGATCTGCCCAAGCTAACGCGTGTTATATTTGACTTTGATGCAGCTTTTTCGTCACTCCCTACGTATCACGACAATTACAGGCGATTTGTTTTAACGGATCTGAAGGGGATGTTTCCGAAGATTCATGATCTACTAGATAGGGAGTGTAGGGTATCGATAATGTTCTCCAGTATGGGGCCGCTCGAGATGCGAAGGGATGAGCTTACTTCTCAAATATGGGAGGATAAGCTGGAGGCTATCAGGCCTGATTAAACGAAGTACATGACACCCAAAAGGGCAGCCGGACGGCTACACCTACCAAATATCATTTCTTTGTACTGTATTTCATTATTGTCGTCTCCTGCCTGAAATTGAACAAAACCTGGTGATCCCCTTCACTTGATCTTTCCCTGCGCGCGTCGTTGTCGGCGCGTCCCCGCGCTATCCGGTCACTCACCTTCACCACCACGCCAGTGCCTCAAAATCCGCGCTCCTTCCGCAAACAGAACGTCCACGCTCTTCCAAACCTGTCCAACGCGCGTCATCGCCACCCATTACTCAGCCCCGGCGCCGGATCAATCTCTCGCCGCGCGCCCACACTGCCTATATAAACCCGCTCGCGCCCTCCCTCCGTTCTCTTCTCTTTTTCCTTACCTTGAACTCAAAGCCGCAATCGTCGCTCTTGTTTGCATAGACGACTCAATTGCGGTTTTACTCCTCGCTCTTCCACGCTGACGTGGGAGAGTGAGGTGGTTCAGGGTCGTACCGCTACGGCGGTCGCTTGGCCTTAGGGACAAGCTTTCGAAACATCGAACCTCCGGTGTTGTGTTCAAGGGACAAACTCTCATTGAGCACTTACCTAGGTACCTACTACACACTTATGGGTGTCGCTTCATCCACGGAGAAGCTTGGTGAATCTTTCAGCTCATACTCTCGCACACTCGGGGCGTACGCAAAAGCTGCCACGGCAGTGCTACGCCAGTTTGCGTGGTTTGACTGAGACAAGAATCTACGGATCCCTTGGCTGACAATTCCACACACTTGGGAGCGTCGGCGTTTCATCTGTTTGGGCTACTGACGGCTACGTCAGTCGCGAGAAGCTGCGAGAAGGCGTCTTCTCGCAGGGGATTGTTGATCCATTGCTGAGGGTGGGAGGGAGGGGGAGAAGCTTTCATGACCATCCAGCTCATTCTTTCGCACACTCGGAGAAATGAGCAAGGTTGGCATGATTGACAAGACATGGATTCACGCATCTTGGCTGATCTGTCCCACCTACTTGGGAACGGTAGCCAGTCGTGATGACATGTACTTGAGGGAAGATGGGGTGGGTGGGAGGGTTTGTGGGTGAGAGGGGGGTTTGATATGGATGGAGATGGAGGGTTGGAGGGAGGGAGTTGTGGTATCGGTGTAGATAGTAGATAGAGTAGAAGAATGTCCGTTCTTCTACACAACGCTGTTCTGTCGTGAGTGCTCTCCAAAAACCCCCAACTTGAACTGAACTTGTTCGCTGGATGATTCTTCGTGCAGTACTTGGATTGGTACAAGATATCGCCCACTTCGTGTCGTGCGATCAGAAGACGAAGTAGGCGGCTCACACATGGTCTCGCGAAAAGTTCCAAGGGGAATGTGTTTGCTACATGCGTTCCAACAGAATGTATGTTCTCAAGTTGCAAGTAAGAAGGAATTACGCGCATAGTACTCAAACCACGTACGAACAGTATACAACCTTTCGCGAATCTTAGTACAAGCGGACATGACATGACGCGATCTTGTGGATGTTGTCGATTCTAGCAAGCATCGCGATTCCAACGCCCAATCTAGTGACGCGAGATTCGTTTTGTTGATATCCTGTAGATTCCACAAAGTGGGAGCAAAACTTTGAGAGCGCGTAGTATTGTGTGGTCTTCCTATACTTGTCGGTGCTCGTAGTCGGCGCACACGAAGTAGACAGTGCCATGCATGCCACATTACGCACCAGACCCAGTGACCAGCATATCGACCCGCTTCCTGCTTCCCACTGCTATCATACAGCGGTCATACATGCTCCAGTGTTCTATCATTTCCCCGCTGCTTCTTAACATCTTCCTCTCGCTTCGCGTTCTTGGCATCCACCCAAACCCAAAAAAAACATGTAGACCGCAACACCATCATCCTTAACCGCCAAAAAAGTTCTTCACACACCATAGAATCCGCAGGAGAACGTAAGCCCGACGTGGGGGTCGAACCCACAACCTTGAGATGAACCAATCGAGTCTAGTTAGGACGTGAAAGCTAAGAGTCTCACGCTCTACCGATTGAGCTAGCCGGGCTGATATATTGGCTTCGGGAAAATTAAGGTGTACTGATGTACTGTCGTAGAGGCTGGGTTGAAGCACTACGAGTGCAGGAGGCTTGTTACATGAGGTGTGAGGTGTTCAAGTTGGGCGTGGTAAAGGTAGGTTGAAGTTTTTTCTTTCTTTCGGCCGATATACGGCTACACTTGAGGAAGGTATTCCAACATGGAGCGAACATCATGTTGATATGCGAGCACATGGCATGTACACATGGCAATGCTACGAATGAGCAAGACGCGCGAATAGAACGTAGAGGTAGTAATACCTATACTCCACTTCCACACCTTCCACACCTAGCCTCAGGCACAGATACACAATCCATCACGATCCATACCACCTTCGCTATCGCTGTGTTACCCCTGCGTGTAACAAAAAACCACATGCTCACTATCAAAAAATACAATACCTCAACAGATCACGGCAGGTCAGCACTACACCCAAAACCCTACACATCACCCAAGCGAACACTCCAATACTCAATTCGCGACACCGACAGGACCCACATCGGCGGTCATGCACGTACCCGCAGAGCCTCAACACCTTCCTCCGACCCCCAATACCAGCCGCCTCCATATCCAATATCCAGTAGTGCCAATTCCCATCGTCTCACCTATCATTCGTTCGGAGTCGGTACGGGTAGAGTTCTACACCAGCTATCGTTCGATAGCGTGCCCTCGCACAAGACTCCGAAGTGGCTGGACTGTGGATACAGCAAAGTCTTTGCTTCGGAGTCGAGATGAGACAGCGATGGCAACGGTGGTTCGCGATGGGCTTAGGTTACAAGCTTTCGATATTCCCGGCCGGTGAACTAGCGGCGCGGAGGTCGTGTTGGTGGTGGTTGTATGCAGTCTGCGTTATGCGAGGGTGATGCTTCTTCTCGAAGCGGCGCTAATGCAGAGTCTAGAAGGCATGTGTGTACATCGCACATGCGATTCACCGCGCGATTATTCTCGGGAGGATTGGGATAGGCTGGGAAACTTGCGTAGTTGCCGTTGTTTTTCGATACGCCGAACACGTTGTCTAAGCGTAGGCAGGCGTAAGCCGGAGGCATCGCATCGGAGGTTAGCTGGCATCGGTGGTTTGTAGGGCTCTGGTTTTACTAGAAACCGAGCCGAGCCTCCGAGGATAGACTATCGTTGTCTTACCATGCCGGAAGGAGTAGCCCACTAGCATCCATCGCAGTCTAAACGAAGGAAAGATAGACTAGACTCCTTGCGAGTAAGTTGATACCGGTGTAACGTTGCCCCTCAAACCACCGCTTGCGTGGCGGTGAAAAATGGCTGTGGCTCAGATACTCGAGAGGCTCGAGCCGAGCATTCACCGTTGTGGGTCGCGACGCTGTCAGCTGCGGACATGGAACATGGCATTTCGACTCCATGCAAATCCACATGTACAGAAATAACCGAGAAGTTCTGGACTCGCGGGAACTACTCGTTGTGCGCTTTACAGTGGATCTTTGTATCGGAAATGTACGGGTGAGATTGAGAATTATTCTCGTCCGCGCATCTGCAACCCTTAACTGCGGAGTACAGCCAGACATGTGACAGCAAAAGACAACGGGAACTATGCGAGGATTTACGGCCCCAGGTGGAGATATTGATCCTTGTAGAGCGAGTAGAAACCGAGATTTTGCATGCGAGCTTTACTTTGATGGGGAAGGATCATGACAATGTGACTTGCAAAACCAACTAAAGAAAAGAAAAAACTCCTCTTCATTCAGACTCGTGCAGATATCACGTCCGATGTAACAGTGCTTTGGGTAGCAATGCAGGTACGTACCTGCCATTTTGATTCCGTTGAAACAATAACCCTGGCTGCGCTCGTGAACTTGCGTTGCTTGCGTGTCGGTGGAGCTCGGCAAGCACCGCACACATGCGCGCCCGCGCAGGTTTGGCACGTGAAACTCGGTTCATGCATGCATGCGTTCGCAAGTCAGCGTCCGTCGGATTTACCGACATGAATGTGCTGCAGCGTCGACAGCTGCGCATGAGTGACGCTGTTCATGAGGAAATGGATACGATTGTGTGATTTGTGCATACTCCATGCCCAATGCGAACACAATGACGCATGAATCAGCTCAATCGATACATTCAACACCCTGCACGCATGCGCGTCAACGCGTCGCCAGCCTCGCGAGTGCCGAATACGGAAGACTCGTCTCTAATGGCCACCGGAATTATAAAAAAGCTTGTTGTGCGGCGATGCCAAATAGCTCTAGGCGTAAACGATGTAATATTCTCTGGGGCTTCTAGAAAATCTTCGCTTGTGTGTGACGATGGCAAAGGGCGAAAAGGGCTGAGATCCGCTCGTAGCCAATCGATCCGGTGGAGCGGAGGGGCTGTTGGCGCTGGCGATAACGACTCCACACCACTTGCGGGCACCAGAGGTCTTGTTGAGAGAAACATCGATATTGGTGGTGAGGCCTAGCCATGCCAATCAGCAAACTACCATCGCTATTTCGTCAGCGCGATCTTGTTGGATTTCTTGTGTGACGTATGAGCAGCTCTGTTGAAGCAAGCCAACAATTCTGCCGCAACATGTCTTGTGTTGGGGAGCTGAACAACCCTGAGGCTGACAAAGACATATCTTTCGCGTTGTAAATTACCAGTGTTCTGCATTTAGCCTGCCTGGGGAGAGGCTTGACCCGGTTTACCCAATCCAGTAACTTCATGATCGACGTCTTGGGCCTTGGTACCTGCATTGGATCCGGTGTGTACGTCATGGATCCCAAACTCCATGACGAAGCTCGAGCAGGTTCACCCCAGAAAAGAGATATGCTTTCTACCCCATGATGTGTTGCGACCCATTGTCTCCAGATTGTAGCAGGTTCGTGACCAGGATCTCGCGGCTTCTGGCAAGTGAGGCGCATTGATGACAGCATCTCTGATGCAGCGAACAACCATGGAAGCAACTGATGCGAAAAGGGTCTTCGCGTCGAGG